CCCCAAAGCATCAAGCAACTGATCCTTAAGATATGAAGAAATACCACTAGCAAATAGGTTACTTTTATCTGGATTAGGAATAAGACCAGAAAGTGCTTTGAACAGACTAAGGCACTCTCCAAAAAGAGAAACAGACCCAATCTCAGCTCTACAAAAGACCATAAGATTATCAGCAAAACACAAGTGGGCGAGCTTTTCCTTTTCACACCTCCAGTGGTATTTAAACTCATGTTTAGCAACCATCAACCCCATTAACCCTGAAAAGACCTCCATTGCCAAGACAAACAAATAAGGCGACAAAGGATCTCCTTGTCTCAATCCTCTCCCACCAGCAAAGAAACCATGCACCTCTCCATTAAGGGAAATCGAAAATCGAGTGGTAGTAATACACTCAGTAATCCATGTAACAACCCTCTCCGGAAAACCCAGCACCTTTAAGACCGCAAAGAGAAAATCCCAACGAACAGAATCATAGGCTTTCATGAGATCAACCTTAAGAGCACACCTGGGCAATCCTCCTCTGCGGTGATAATTCCTCAACAACTCTTGTGAAAGAAGGATATTATCACTAATATGTCTCCCTTTAATAAAAGCAGTTTGTTGAGGTCCAACAATGTCTGAAAGCACCACCTTGACTCTATTGGCAATAAGCTTAGCAATACATTTATAAATAGTATTGCAACAAGGGATATGTCTAAAGTCTTTTACCTGCGAAGGATTTGGAATCTTAGGGACTAATGCAATGGTAGTAGCATTAACCTGCTTCAATAGACGCCCCGAGTCAAAGAAAGACTTGATGGCACATAGAACATCATTCCCCACAATACTCCAAGCCCTTTTGAAGAAACCTGCATTAAAACCATCTGGCCCTGGAGCTTTATTATCTTTCAAAGAGAATAAAACCTCCTGAATTTCCTCAAATGATACATCTCTATCAAGGGTTTGGATATGCACATCTGGAATACTCTTAGGAAGAGCTCTTCTAAGCAAGTCCAAATCCAGACCCTCCCCGCTCGGCTGTCGTCCAAGGAGATTTTGATAAAGTTCAACAATAACGTTACTAACCTCTTGCGGCTCCTCCACTCTGGTACCATTATCTCTACAAATGGAAACCACCTTACTCTTACCATAATGACTTTTCATAGCCTTAAAAAAAAAAGCAGTAAAGACTAGGGGATTTATCAGCTACTGAACACGAGCTTTTTGTCTAAAAAACCCCTCCTCAGCCCTACTGAATTCACCAAATTCCTTTTGTAGCCGAGCCTCCTCACTATGTAAGGATGAATCCAAAGGTGAATGCTGAATCATATGTTGAACTTGCTCTAGGGCAGCCCGAACTGGAGTAACTCTCCCAGGTAGACATGAAAAATGTTCATTATTAAAAACTTTTAAGGCAAGCTTCAACTTCTTCAATTTCAAACATAAACAAAACATAGGAGTTCCCACAACCGCTTCACCCCAAATCTGAGACACCAAAGGGAAGAAATCCGGATGATCCATCCAATAATCAAAGAACCGGAATGGAATCTTCCTACGTGATAGCTCTGCAATTTTCACAACCATTGGAGAATGATCTGACATACCAGCAGTAAGAAAGGTAGCTTCCGATCCTTGAAACTCACCCTCCCACTTCGAATTAACCAAGACACGATCTAGCTTTTTGAGAATAGGATCAGATACATGCTTATTAGACCATGTATATAAACAACCATCAAACTTCAAATCATCCAAACCCACTGTTGCCATACAGTTCCACAGATCATCTTGCCATGCAGGCCAAGAAGAAGAACCACCTTCTACCTCTGAAGGGGAGAGAACAGAATTGAAATCCCCCATGACCGTCCAAGGCAAGTGAGCAAATCCTCCATGCATAGCTACTAAATCAGCCCATAGATCAACACGCTTAATTGGGTTATTATCTCCATATACCACTGACACTATACAACTCCATTTGCCATTACATACATTAACACGAACAAGGATAGCTTGAGCTGAGCAACCAATAAGCAAAACATCCACATCATTTGGATTCCAACATACCCAAATTCTACCCAGCAGAGAACAATTATAATTGGTAAGGACATTCCAAGACTGGAAGATGGCATTCGCCACCGTATCTTTATTCCTCTCCTTAACTTTAGTTTCCACCAACCCACACAAAGAAAGCCTATAGGAAGAAATGAGGCTCTTTACTTCAGATTGTTTCAGGGGGTCATTAAGCCCTCTGACATTCCAGCATCCAAAAAACATAATTAAAGTTAAGGAGAGAACCACAACCTCAAAAGCCTATCGCCATCTGCCTTCCCTAGGGGAGTGATGCTTCTTGCCCTTCTTATGCTTGCCCCCCGACCCATTCTTCTTCTTCTTCTGAAGTGAGTCTATAACTTTTGTTGCCAACGTATTAGAATGATAAGCAGAAGAATCGCTATCATTATCATTCAGAATGGCAAGTGGAGTTGGAGACACTTCGCCTATTTCCCCTAATTCAACTGTCCCATTAGGTATTGTTTGTAACTCTAAAGGAGTTACATCAAAATTCGATACCATCAACTGCTTATCAAGATCACTAGATGAAGACCCATGAGACTCCTTGAAAAGCATCAGCTGCTTATTAAGATCACTATGCAGAGATTGCTGATCAACCTCTCCTTGAACCTCTTTAGAATTATCAGCCAAGGTGTCTCCTTTAATAGGAACAACAATACCAGTATCAACACCACTGCCTTTAGACTTTTTCATACGTGAGACATGGGTCCAATCATCATCGATGGGTGGTGTCTCATTTGCTACACCACTCGGTCCAGCCTTATCCTTAGCAACCCAAAACTTGACAAGTTTTTCCTGATGCTTACTCTCACTAGGCTTAGGTAGAGACGAGCAAGAATGGCCAAATACCCACATTCTCGACATTTAATGGGGACCCATTCAAACTCAGCACGAATAGCTATCCAATCCCCATTCGCACAACGAAAATCAAACTCCTCTACTAGCTCCTCCAAAGCATTAATCTCTACACAAACACGCGCAAAGCTGAGACGTTTACATGAAAGAGTGGTCGCATCTGCACGGAGAGGACGACCCACAGCACTAGCTACATGACTCAACCCCTCCACTGTCCAATACTCAAAAGGGATATTATAAAGTCTTACCCAAACAGGAATGCAACGTAGATTTTCCTTGGCCAATGTCATATTAGGTTGCCAACGCTTTAGAATAAGTGGCCTAGAAGCCATATACCACGGCCCTCTTTCAAGAACTAAAAGGGCTTGGTGAAGAGAATCGAATTTGAAAAAATAAAAACCAGTATCTGAGGATAGAACCTCCTTTTTGGCTAAAATTCTCAATGACAACGTTACAATTCATCGTTCAACGAACTTTTTCTTTTTTTCTCCTTTATCCTAGAGGAGACTTAAAACACATATTCTGGTAAGATTTTACTATTACTGCTTGAACTAGACTTTGATCTCATAGAGAAACAAAAGTTGAAGGGAAAAAATCAGGTGTATAATTTACACCAATTCATAAATCAGGTTTATAATTTGAAAATTCAAAATTCAAATATTTATATTATTAATTAAATATATTCATTAATTAAATATAATAATGGTCGCATATACATAAATATATGCCACAATTTATTTACTGGTAACATATTATCAAATTTTTTATAAGTCACAGATTATTTCGAGGTCACAAATTAAAATTTTATTGGTTATAAA